AAAGCCTCGGCTGCTGAGACAGAGAAAAAGAGCAGAGGGTGAGAAATTTGCCTCGATTTCTCAGGACGGAGGCGAGCAGATGGTTTGGTGCCCCTGTGTTGTCGCAAAGTGCTGGACCGATGGTTGCCACCGAAGTGTCTGGACCGATCCTGGCCATCCTATGGTCGCTGGTTCATCGTAAGCTCTGCTCCTACCCTGCTGATGGTGGTCCTCCACCCTGCAAAAGAGCTCCTGTGTGGATTCCCTAGTGTCTGATAAAGGTTCAGCTCATGCTGTTGGGTTTTCTTTACTGGGAATGCTTGAAGGGTCAGGCGTTCTCCCCTTCCGGGAGGTTCACTTTTGTGAACGTGGTGCTCTCTGACACTTCTCAAGTTCTGTGAAAATTGGTTAAAATGACCTAACAAGTCCAAGATTTCCCAGGGACCGGGATCATCTCAAGCCAGGAGCTCTATCTCCTGCTCGGGGTCAGCCGAACCCCTGCACCGATGATGGCCCAGAACAAACGGGTCCATCAGAAACCTTTGCTCCTGTCTATTCTGCTTCCAATCCTGCCAAGAACACCGAAATTGCTTGGTTTTCCATTCCAAAATACTTAATTCCACTGGGGAACACTCCGGTTCTGCGCTCGTTCCTTCTGAACTCGCATCCCGGCTCTCCCAGTGTTCCCAGTTATCTCCAAACCCTTTTCTATTCCAGAAAAAGAAGAACTTGCACAAGACTGCAATAAAACAGACTTGGCAGAAAGAAACAAAAGGCTGACGCTGTTGTTAAAACTGACCTAAAAATATCTCTTCTCGCCACAATGCCAACGCTTTCTAGGATCACCCGAAATCCAGCACCACCAGGGCAGAGAGCAAACACGGTGTTTGCGAGACATCCCCACTCCGGTTTTCTGACCACAGTGTCCCGGCTCTGCCCACTCGGTGGGCTTCAAGCCTTTTTTTTTTCAACCAATTGACAGCTTTTTTGTGAAACTCCAGCGCTGACACAATTACCAAAGGCGAGCAAACTTACTGCTGCTTTCCCTTCCCAGCCAACGTTTGGTGCTTCATTGCTGAAGCTTTTCTAACCCTCCTCCCTCCAGAAATGCAGCTTTGATCCATCAGCATCCGTCCCTCCCTGTTGGGAGACACTGGTCCCACTCGAGATGATCCTGTCGGCTCCTCTGGTTGCTGCATCCATCCCTCCCCTCCCGAAATCCCACGTACCTCCTCTGCTGCCGGTAGCCTGACAGCTCCAGGAGGGATTTCCGAGGGAAAGACCGAAAGAGTTTCTGCACCTGCTGTTTCCATGACAGCAGCCGCTTCTTCTGGATCTCTGTAAACGCCTGCTCAATTAAAAAAAAAAAAATAAAAAAGAAAGAGAAAAATAGAAAACATATAAATATTTTCCTGGACAAAGCAAGCAGGGATGCATATGTGGGTGTGTGTCCAATGAAAAGCAGGCGGAGGTGTAAGCTGAGCCCCACTTGAAAGTCCAGAGGAAAACCCTGGTCTCTCTCCAGGACTTACTCATCTCAGGTGGAGAAAATGCTCTGGCAGCATCCCCCGTGCTGCAGAGTT